CAGGTTTCTTGAATTTCCCGAAAAATTGAAATGGTGTTTAGGAGGTCGTCTAATTCAACTTACCTATAGTCCAACTTACTGTACTGAAGTTAGATTTGGTATAGTCCGCGGCGCGAAGCGCCGCGCACACCTTCAATTTACATGCGGATTCCCTCGGCCGCGGGAAGCAACTTCGACTACATTTTTTTCACTTTACACTTCTGTTCGCGGCGCGAAGCGCCGCACACACCTTCAATTTACATGCGGAACAACTTACTCCTCCGCGGGAAGCAACTTTGACTACATTTTTTCACTTTACACTTACTTCTAAAAGTTTCCTTCTCTGTCTGTCCTATTTTGCCACCCCACAGGACTCTATTACCACCGTTTTTGCAGGAAAAAATGCTGGGACTAGGGGTATATGAGTGGGGCTACATAAGCTACTTTTGCCATGCTCCCTAAACGACTCGCGTTGTAGAAGCACTGGCTCAACACGGAGGCCAGATCAGGGCATGACTGGAGTTATTCGAGTCGCGATCCCATGAAAACTGCTGAACATAGTCGAGGGGCTTGGTAACACACGTAGCTGCAGGTTCAAGCCGCACCAGTCACATATGATCTTTATGTCATTCCCACTCCGTGGGATATGAATCGGTCTAGGCAGCTCCGGTCACCTGTGCTCAGTCCCTCTTCCGATCTTCTTGCCTCGGTCTTGACACTGGGCACGGTCGGATGAGGGAAAAGAGAGGACGCGGTAGATGCAACACCAGTCAACAAACACTGAAACCTAAAGCACGCGTATGCTGCTGTGCCTGGACTATCGCACTAGGGGAGCGGACGCTGGACCTCATCAGAATCGACTGTCTAACTCCCGCACTTTGGATGCTACCAGAAATGTCAATTTCGAAAATACTTTGCAATGAAGAATATCTTCCACTGCGATAACAAAATAATTATTTTTGCGAATCCAGACAAACCTTAATTCTCCTTCCATGGAGGTAGTTTTCGGTCTTATCTGATGTTTATAGACATGGTTCCATGGTTAAACTGTGAAGTCCGAACTGTAAATATTTTATAGGATTTCGACCATCCCGAAAAAAGATGCTGCACTGTTCTGCAGAAAGCAACTAATCATCGAAAACTGCCTCAGACATATTTGAGGAAGAACAAAAGTGAGCATCCATACCTTCTGCAAGCGAGACAATTGTCAATATGCTTTTATAATTGATCAGCGTTCACCATTCCGCCCTACAAGGGTTGTGCCGAAGATCCTCTTCTTTTAAGTTATCAAATATCTTAGTTTGCTATTACATGTTTAATCCCAGCATTCGCGTCTCAAGTTTGTCCATGAAACACATCACCTACAAGATTTTATCTAGAGAGGGCTACCATTGCTTCTGCGCACTATTTTCCCAGAACTATGAGAGGAATCTATGACATCTAATAGACTTCTGAATCATTCTCTATCTTTTGTTTTTTTTTAAAACGTCTAGGTGAACTGCTGATATGGACTCTAGCAAACGAGTTAGGAAGTCTTGTTGCGAGTCGTGGAGGTGCCTCAGGAGGTCATCAGGATGCAATCAGCTATCTTCATTGGTTAACACCTGAATCAGTTTATGTGGGTGCTTCGAATTCTGGGCGATCTGATGCAGGTGAACACATCATTTCGTTTGGAGCGGATGGACGCATAATTTGCTGGACTTTGACGATGGACTCCAGAGAGCCTACATTGACCCCCATTAAAATGTACATCAAGCGCACGTTTGGGTATTCATTAACGGTGATTACTTGAAAGGTTAATAATTCTGAGGCTTCTTCCTAAGTTTTGCACGAAGTCCCACCAAAAATCGTCTTTAACTGCGGCAGTTAAATGTATACTATCATTGAATTTGGGATATTAAGCTTGGCAGTAGACATGCTTTTTAAGGTTCCGGGGAAAGTGTGTAAAAGAGCCTATTTTTATGAAGACGTTTGGCATCTAAGTAGATAGAAATTGCTAGCAAAGAGAATGAAGACTAGAAGTGCCATTTCTGGCTCATTAGCCATCATCAGCCAGTCATACCCAACAATAAGTGGTGCATCATCTAAGGTTCGAACTGGCGACCTTGAGCAGTGGTCCTTTGTCTAAACCACTAGCTGCTTGACGGATGCTGATGGGGCTCGAGGGTAAGCCTTAAAACAGAACGGGTCGAGCGAGTTTCGTTAGTCATCGGCGAGTGTTCATCGACGAATATCAATATCCCGATCTGAACGCGTGATTATTATTTGTTGAAAATAGTAGCCTTACTTTTTTACGTGTCCCACTCACCAGCTCAACCTATGACGATTTATGCATTGAGAATAGTAGTACTCTTTTGTAGCAGTGTCATAATTTGTGTACTTTTTATCTCCAACCCTAACTACATCTCATCTCTGCCTTGCGTAAAGTTATCAAATCTATGGAAGAGAACAGCTTGGAGCCGCCGTACAAGATCGTCTTTGTAACGCCTCATCCTGGGGTGGGACACAGGGCGGCACCTCGACCAGCCTGGATCACCCAATCGGCATATCAACAGCTGTCTTCTCGCCACATAATCCAGAGAGTCTATTCATCGGTACAGAGAGTGGCGGTCTGCTCTTCTGCAAATTTGAAGTCGTCGACTGGAATGTGCCCAGAATCGGTACTTAACACATTTGAAAGTTATCAAGTAAAACTAATGCCCATATATCACTGTTGTGCCAGTAAACCTATGGGCACTAAAAGAACTGGTATTTTTACAGTGCTAGGAATTCGTAGCACATTGATTTCGTTGACTAGGTTACCAAAATGGCTTATTTTGAGAGAGTACTTGTCTAATTCAATCATGCAATATCTAAACCAAGATAACCCAGGAATATGTGTTCTTGGTTATTTGTGAAACCATCGGCTCTCGGGTCCCACTGATAAACAGTCGTGGTTCAGCATGGACATTGCTATCAAAGCACAGACGGTAAAACCTGACAGACCGGCTGACTTATAAAATAACGCAAAG